ACGTACCCCACCCATTAAGCGTAAACACATCAATGATATTGGTGTTAAATACTAGGGAATTCATCTCGTTCATTTTGTTTTAAGCCAGGTGATATTTCATCCTATCACCCAAACCCTTTATCCGTAGGTTAAACAGTACGGAATGAACGATCTATTTACAGATATCATTAATTAGGTATTTTGACTGAAATGTGAAATTAGTGTGGAAACGTTTTGAATGGAAATTATCCGTTTGGGGGGGGGGGGTCAGATTCACCGATCGGAAGTGCACGGTGTATGAATATCGGCAAACTTTTCGACGGAGTTGGGAAGTCGACCGTTTGAATTGCACATATGTTAAACGGATTCATCCCTCGGGTAAGGGGTGGGTTCCCACTTAGACCTTTCAATTACATGTACATTCAATTACTGGGAGCTATTGAGAAACAAATTGAATAACTTCTTGTCCAGAGATGATCGATCTAGATGTCGTCCTTTTCCTTCCCGTTGGATCCAACAGCAGTCTGGCTTTTGACAGGTCGGCCATGTTAAATCCCTCACCAATTAAAAAATTGTACTACTTATAAAAAACACAGTCATCTACTTTAAAACTATTTTTTTCTTCAAATGTTAACCTCTATGTAAATTTATAGTTACGAATATTATACTGTATATAATCCATGCTCGAATGAGAATGTGTCCCTATCCTAGTGAGTTAGTATTCCCCCAAGTATAGTAGTCTGTAGACTGTAGTCTTTTGCTTATTGTTCTTTTTCCAGCTATTTAGTTCTGTTGAAGTGACGCATTTTAAGAAGTAGAATGTTGACAGTCCATGCTATAATTATCTTTACTGGGTCAACTTGTTACCCCAGATTATGTCACCATCCAGCGGTGCCCTTTCACTCCTCTAAGATGTACGATAGCTGACGCCATAAAACTGTCGGGTTGGGCAAGGTGTTATAACCATTTACAATGCCTGGCTAAAACGTTTAGATTTCGTCTGGTTCTCCATTAACTTTGTGAAGATCCAGAAAGGTTCGTACGTGTAATCTTGGGTCTTTATTTAAGGTTCAGGCTTATACTTTTGCTTTCTGATTCCCTGGCCAGTTTGTCCGCTTGTTCATTACCCAACATTACTTCATGTCAGACACCCAAGATTATGTTGTTCTTTCCCAGGTATTGAAAATTTTGTGTATATTAATGAACCATTTTGGGTGTGAAATTTTTACATCTCCTTTTAACTCCTAGGGCCGTTTGGCTGTCTGATCTTATAAACATTAATTTTTTAAAGTTTAACTTCATTTAACATTTTTCACGGCACGAACATTAATAGAATGCATTTTACGTGAAAACCAAGGTTACTGTCTTTTCTAATAGATTTCGGAGTTCTTCAATTATGAATTTACGATTCTGGCTTTTCTGGAGTACATGCATTTTTCCTTTTTTGTTTTTGTGAACACATTCTGCAATAGAGTATCTTGTTGTTACCTGAACTATTTGTCCTTTGGCCAATAATTGTTTTTGCAGATCCTCAATCGGCCCAATTTGCCAGCTTATTCACTACCCGGAATTGCATTGAAACGTGGCATTAAAGATTGTAGACATATGTGTGGTGTTTAGTGACTATTAGCAAAGGTAATTTGAAGAACGTGAGGTGAGGTTTTAGAAAAACATTTTCTTTATCGCGCCAACGTTTCCATCGTTTCGATCTTTTTTGAGATCATCTTCAGGGCCTGGGATTTATAAACATTGTTTGAATTTTACAAATACATGTAGGGTATAAAAAAATGAATTTATACAATGCTAGAAAATATTAGATAAAAAAACGAATTTATAGAATGCTAGAAAATTTTAGGTTAAAAAACAAATTTATAGAATGCAAAAAAAATTAGGTTAAAAAACAAATTTATAGAATGCTGGAATATTTTAGATTTAAAAAAATGAATTTATCCAATGCTAGAAAATTTTAGATTAAAAAAATGAATTTATACAATGCTAGGAAATTTTAGATAAAAAAAATGAATTTATAGAATGCTGGAATATTTTAGATTTAAAAAAATGAATTTATACAATGCTACAAAATTTTAGATTAAAAAAATGAATTTATAGAACGCTAGAAAATTTTAGGTTAAAAAACAAATTTATAGAATGCAAAAAAAATTAGGTTAAAAAACAAATTTATAGAATGCTGAAATATTTTAGATTAAAAAAAATGAATTTATACAATGCTAGAAAATTTTAGATTAAAAAAATGAATTTATACAATGCTACAAAATTTTAGATTAAAAAAATGAATTTATAGAACGCTAGAAAATTTTAGATTAAAAAACAAATTTATAGAATGCAAAAAAAAATTAGGTTAAAAAACAAATTTATAGAATGCTGGAATATTTTAGATTAAAAAAAATGAATTTATACAATGCTAGAAAATTTTAGATTAAAAAAAAGAATTTATACAATGCTAGGAAGTTTTAGATTAAAAAAAATGAATTTATAGAATGCTGGAATATTTTAGATTAAAAAAATGAATTTATACAATACTACAAAATTTTACATTAAAAAAATGAATTTATAGAACGCTAGAAAATTTTAGGTTAAAAAACAAATTTATAGAATGCAAAAAAAAATTAGGTTAAAAAACAAATTTATAGAATGCTGGAATATTTTAGATTTAAAAAATTAATTTAAACAATGCTAGAAAATTTTAGATTAAAAAAATGAATTTATAGCATGCTGGAATATTTTAGATTAAAAAAATGAATTTATACAACGCTAGAAAATCTTAGATAAAAAAAGAATGAATTTATACAATGCTAGAAAATTTTAGATTCAGTTGTGTTCGACACGACAGACAAGAATGACACATCTACAGGGAAAACAAACACTTTGAGTGAATACGAATACTTTGATTGAAACCAAAATTTTCTAGCATTGTATAAATTCATTTTTTTTATCTAAAATTTTTTAGCATTGTATAAATTCATTATTTTTTTCTACATCCTACATGTATTTATAAAATTCAAACAATGTTTACAAATTACAACATTGCCATGATAAAGAAAATGTTTTTCTAAAACCTACGTCACACCAAAGCGCACCTCACGATCTTCAAATAATCATTGTAGGCATAATTTAAAAAAATAAATATTTTCCGTGTTTTTAAATCATTATTTAAAGCCACTAAAAACAAATTTAATTACATGAGTTAAACAAAAGTAAAAAAGAAAAGAAGCTAGGTACCATCGATGCAGCCAAAAAAAGTTTTTAAAAAATCGGGTTCGTTTTAAGCCTTCTTTAAAGCACTAAAATATGTATTTTCAAAGAAATCAAGAATTAAAAATTTGGGGCTTAATCACAAGGGATTAGATAAACAAATGTTTCTAAAACGAAAATAAGCTACTGGTAATGTAGGGAAAAAATGGGTTCTTTTTTTAGTACTTTGTGAAGCCCATAAATGTGTATCTTTATAGGAATCAAAAATTAGAATTTTAGAGCTTATGTACATGTGATTAGACAAACAAATATTTAAAAAAAGAGCTATTAGTAATGTAGGCAAGATTTTTTTTAAACTTCGAGTTCGTTTTAGGCATTCTTTAAAGGCCTTAAATATGTATTTTTATAGAAATCAAAAATTAGAATTTTGGGACGTAATTATATGAGATTAGTAAACAAAAAGTAAAAGAAAAGAACCTGTCATAAAATAGGCAAAAAATATTTTAAAAAATTTCAGGTTCGTTTTACGCACTCTTCAAAACCATAAAATATGTACATAATCATAGTAATCAAAAATTAAAATTTTGGGGTTTACTTGCACGAGATTTGATAAATAAAAATGTACGAAATTGAAAAGATGCCACAGTGATGTAAGTAAAAAATATTTTTTCAAAAATATATACAACTATTGACGAGCTTTTATGAAAATTAATATGTTGGCCTATGTAGTCGTCTTTTCCGCTTAATTCTTGCAGTTGTACATAAATCATTTATAAATTTCAGAAAGTTTAATAATTCCGTGAGTATAAAAGTGATTGTTGTGCCATTTAATTTAAATTTCAGGTATATAACCTGCACAATAAACCCGAATAAACTAAAATATGACGTCAAGATCGCACCAAGGCTCCTTGGCAGTTGTCCTGAATCTGTGTTTTACATTAAACGATAGTTTCTTTGTTGACTGGTTTCTTTAAGACCACGTCAAATATTATGCTGAGTTGTTTATGTGTTGCTTATCTGATCGGTTGCAGGGGATTATGCGCCGCTTTACGGTCGGTCGACGGTTACGAATTCCTCCTTGACGGAGTAAGCCTGGATTTTTGGTTGAAAACTATACAAAAGTAGAATATAAACCCGGTACTGGAAGGATTTAATAAAAGGATAAGAAGAAAGAGCCGTTTCCAGCACGCCGCAGACTTAATTTCTTAAAGTTTTCGTCTCATACGGATTTCTAAACCTCCATTGGAAACATTTATATAAAGAGAAACGACGAAAAGCTCATTTAAGCTCCACAAACCATTAAATTGGATGGGCACCAAACAGTTCGAGCACACAGCAATAATCAATAAAATCAGACACCCTTTCTTAGAAATGAGGGCTGACTGCGTGGTCCTGGAAACACTCTTTGCAACATCCTGTAAAATCTCAACAGACTGCAAAACAGAAGATGAATTCAGGAGAACATCATATACAATGACATGATATACAGATTGCTTCAAAACAAACGAGTCAGTTGTTTTCTATACGAGCTGGTACTGTCTTTCTAAACAATTGACAAAACATATAATTAACAAATGATTTTATGAGTTGAGTACTTGATGGTCATTGTTTAATGATAAAATGTAATGATGAAGCGTCGGTCTGCTATGTTTTAATAGAAAAGCAGTCCATTAGTTCAATGGTTGATTGGATAAATATCGATTTTGAAAGTGATAAATCAGTCTTAAGGAATAAATCGAATTGTCAGCTTTTCCGATGACCAATGAATTCTTATCTATTTCCCCACCCTGCCATTCCAAAGTCTGGAAAGCAGTCACTGGTTTGGCAGTTAATCGTCCCAACTCCTGGAGTCTTTATCTTATTTTCATCATGAAGGACGTGAAGTCCACCGCTTCGGTCACTCTGTCCTGTTACGGCGAAAAGGCCAAAAATAAATCAACAGCCCAATTCGTTTTGAACCCGTCCTTCGTGGGTACATTCAAGCCTAAGGAACCACCCTCGGAAATGAAAGTCCCCCAGGAAAAATATGCCGGAGCTAGGAAAATTCTCGGCGGTGAGGACAATACAGAAGCGTTTGGCGGCGATGGAATTCCAACAGATGGTATCTCGAACACACTCAAAAAGAGAACAGCCTTTTTAAGAATGGTTACACATATATTGAATTTTCGGCAGGTTTGTTCCTTTATAGTAACATTATTTATCTTAAGCTTGAAATTTATATTAACAGAGTTTTTGTTCTAAATAAAAACTAGGATGTCTAATCGTAATACTTTGTTTTTCCGAGATTTTCTAACTGAAATAACCTTTCATCCCCAGAGTTGAGTCCCGATATTTCGAAAGTGCGCCTTTTGGGCAATGTTTCCAACAAATAAAAGTTTTTTGCAAGTTCCAGTTAGATTTTGAGTACATGGTCAGTTTGGAATAACTATCATTTCAGTCCACCTTCAAAAGCATATTTAAACCAAAACGTATAGAAATTAGGGAAGGCCAAAAACGACTAAATTCTCCCTCACCAGCTTTATTTAAGTTCCAGCTTTAGTTACTTGCTCACATTTTATATTATTTTATAGATCTATACATCAATTTTCTTAATATAAATTTTTTCAGTCCAATTAACTCTTTTTAACTTTAAATTAACACATTTTAATTTAAAATTAAATTTTTATAATTTCGAATTTACATTTTCTTCAAATGCAGGTTTTATCATAAATGTATAAAAATTAAAGATGCTAAAAACACCTAATTACAGCATTCCACTTCTTCTGCTTTTTTCGAACTTTTAGCTTTTTTTATTTAGTTATTGTATATTTTATTTTATTTATCCCTAATCCGATGAATATATATACCCTTTTTTCAATATAGGTTTTTCCCTTCAAATTAATTTTTTTAATTCGAATTAACCTTTATTTCAAATTAACACCTTTTAATTTTAAATCAACCTTTTTGATTTCAAATTAACCTTTTTAATTTTGAATTTACTCTTCCTTAAGTAGCAAGTATTGACCAAAATTTATAAAAAATTGGAGATGGCCAAAAACGGCCAAATGATCTTTTCCAGATTTTCTTCAACTTTCAATTTATTGGTTTATATTTTTTATATTTTATTCTCTGCGTATGACCTTATCTAGTGAAGCTGTACATAAATTTTCTTAATGTAATTTTTTCAGCAAATTTAACTTTTTTAATTTCAAATTAACCTTTTTAATTTTAAATTTCGTACCTTCAAATTTGCTCTTTTAAATTTCAAATTTGCCGTTTTTAATTACAAATTGACCTATTTTTTAAGTTTCACTTTAACCCATTTTAATTCCAAATGATCATTTTTGCCCTATAATAAACCCTTTTTAATTTCAAATTAAAAATTTTACCTTATATTCAACCATTTTTAATTTCAGATTAACAATTTTACCTTCGAATCAGCCCGCTTTAATTTCAAATTAGCCATTTTTACTTTATACTGATCTTTAAAATTTAAAATTAAATCTTTCTTTAAAATATAAAAACCTAGCAGATTGTATGAAATATAAGCACGTTAAGTAAAATTCCCGCATTTTTTCTTTCGTACATACAATATATACTACTTGGACTCTTAAACACTACACTTTCTCATATTACTCTTAATTACACCTTTTTAAAACTTTTTTTAAATTTGAAATTAACCCATTCTTTATTACCATTATCACAGTATAGAGGTGATAAAATTTAACCATGTAAAGCAAAATCTCTATATATTGAAGAATAAAAAAATACAAAAAAATAGCATCTTATATAAAATATCACATGAAAATTAATGAAAACAAAATAAAACAGCGGTTTTCTAATTCAACAATTAGAAAAATATATTTATATGTAAAATACCACATAAAAATTAATCACCATGAAAGTTAAATTTAAATAAAATTAAATATAAAATCAAATGATTCTTCCTTTATAATATATAATGATTAGTTTTTAGATGAATTATTTTATATTAAAAACAAATCTAATAAATAGAAGAATCGTTTATTTTTATGTTCAACAGCATAGAACATTTAATTTTAATTTTAATTAATTTCCATATGGTTTGTATGTTTTTTATTGCTTTAAAGAGAAGGTTAATTTGAAAATGAAAAAGGAACATTTGTAGTAAAAAAGAATTAATTTGACGGAAAAATCGTATAAACGGACCTGTTTTACGACTTTCTCTTGCATCATCAACACGTTTTCGATTGATCTGATCATGTGCTCGATGCGAATTAGTTCGGACGTGCTGAACTCCAATTACCTGTGGCGTAAAACTTCCTCATTTTGACCTCTTTGCAATGGTAACATAAGTTAGGACAATATTTTTTCGCAGTTAATCCCATTAAATTTACAAAGGCGATCTGACAACCTATGCCTCTTTTTTGTCCGTACTGCTTCGTTTATTTAGTGTTTATTTCCGAGTGGAAATAAGCAGAGTAGTAGGATAGACATCCAATTCACAAGTGTCTCATGACCTTTCTATATAACCCAATCGAACCCTCAGCATTTGCATAGGTTTCTCACCTCACTCAGGCTGTTTGCTTGAATAAGAAAAAAAAGTCCTTCTCATCTGAAAGGTCCGAAGGGTCGACACCTTTTCTTCCTAACCGGTTCATGTGTAAATTCTTTTTGTAACTGGTGAGCGACCGTTTTATCCAACCTTACTTAGGCATTCAACTCGTGTCGCGGAAATCCAGTCGTGAAAAACTGTTAGGGTACACGATTGCCTGAAATAACCCTGTTACATACGACTTAGTTAAACCTTTCAACCACAAATCTTGTCATTGTCAATACCTACGTTTTCAGTTAGGATACTGTTAACAACAATTTTACAATTTCGATTAATAATCACTCTTTTTTTCAGGTCACGCAGCTGAGTCAGTTTTTCACCTTTAATTCTTCACGGAACGTCGAAAGCGGTGAACTCGATATCAACGGGAATGGAGTAAGTGTATCATCGCTCATTTACTTGAGATCTGATATCTAAAAAAAGTTTGAAACTGATTTATTCAACTAATTTGCATTTAGTGGCTTTAAAAAAGGGCGAAAGGTTATTTAGTGCACTGGTATATAAACATGAATACTAATTTTACAGCTTTACACATTATCACTAACGAATATAACCTCCTGAGTTAGTTTCACCGTCTTTTAGATCGACATGTCATCTACATCTACACCAGCCGCCATACAAGTTTCTTACACTTTAATATGCAGTGGTAATTAAACACAAAATAGTATTAAGTTCAATAAAAGCCATAATTAACACTGTCACTAACGAATTATAACCTCCTGAGTACGGCCTTCTAGATCTTACTTTCACCGCCGCACCACAAAGAAAGTAACGTTGATTTTTTACAGTTTAACATATGTTGTTAATTAATACACTTAGTACACATAAATACACAAGAGACGACATGAAAAGGATGTTTGAATTTAATCAAAACTTCGAAATAAATCTAGGCAACATAAAAGAATTGGAACGAGAGGAAAACACCTTCTTTAAGTGTTAGTACTTTTTTAGTACCCAGATGGATCTAGAACACAAGAAGGTACAGGGGCAGGAGTATTCGGTCCTGGAACCAAATATTCAGAACCCATGGGAAAATACACCAATATCTTCCAAGCTTAAATTCACGCAATCGAGAGATATACTCAACTCAACTTGACTAAAGGGTACAAAAACAAGAACATAACTATCATGTCAGATAGCCAAGCAGCCAACAAAGCACTAAGTTCAAATAACATTAGTTCAAAGATGGCGTTGAACTGCAAAACCGAATTAAACTAGGTACGCAGAACAAAGTCATCCTCTCCTGGGTCCCAGGACACATACATGGGAGTAGAAGGCAACGAGAAAGCGGACACCCTTGCAAGGAAAGGAGCTGCCACACCGCTGATAGGACCCGAACCCTTCTTTGGCATAGGAACCCACACTATCAATGAGTATCTCAGACAGAAGGACAAAAAGAAAATGAAGGAACAAGGGAATTCACTCATTGGGCACAGGCAATCCAATAATCTCCTAACAAATTTCGAAAGAAAAGAAATTACTAAATGTGTTAAAGGAAGCAGGAATAAACTGCGAATCCTAATAGATTCGTAACAGGACACTCCAAGCTACATGGATACTGAAAAAAGATTGGAATAATCCAAAACGGAACATGCAGATTCTGCAAAGAGGCAGAGGAGACACCTCCTAACAAACTACGGTGCTACACTTGCCCGCAGGAGGAAGTGCTTTACAATTATTAAAATTATTACAATAATTACACCCCGACTATTACATATACGTCTCTACATCTACACATAAATACAAAGATTATTGCTTTAACCACTGTGTCACGAACTTCCAGAGCTGTTTTTCAACCAATGCCTTCTAGTTCTCAACCACTTTCTGACACCTCACGGCCACCATCAATAAGATTGTCTATTACAATATAACACACAATGTTATTTACTGCTGTACATATACATTGCAGTGATGACAGATTTATACACTATACTCAATGACTTATTCCTTTTCAGTGATTTTGCACTTATCTCTTAACATTATCTATCCGCCGTACAGCAAACTTATAAGATTGTTTATTACAATGTATCATACAATGGTAATGAATTAGCCAATACACATTAATACAATGATTATAGCTTCATACGCTTTTATTAACGAATAATAACCTCCTGAGTTATTTTTCACCAGTGCTTTCTACATCGACAAGCCATCTAGATCTCACGACACTGTCAACCCGCTTAATGCCGACGTCATCAATAAAGTTGTTTATTACACAATAACATACGATAAAACATAAATATTAGGTACTACATTAAATATACATTATCACAATAAATATAGCATCGTATATATCATAAATGAATATAACCTCCTGATTTACTTTCTGCCAGTGCCTTCGAGATCAACATGAATTCTAAACTTAACGACGCATTCTTGCCGCTTCTCGTTTCCTTGTATTATTGTTATAACTCAAATGTCAATGCAAATTGTTCGAATTTCTTTTTTCTTAAATATCATCGAGAAATTTTTCTATTTTTAAAAAACAAGTAAGGTTTGACTACTGCAAATCTATAACCTATCTATAACTGTTACCGCTCACGCCTTCGTAATAATTTTTTTCATAGTAATACCAATCATAATTGGAGGATTCGGAAATTGATTAGTACCATTAATAATTGGAGCACCTCCGCCGAATTTTTTTTGCTAATATCAAATTCGAACAAAAACGATTGTCAATAATGGTTTGTCAGTCTATTTCACCGGTTGACAATTTCATGACTTTGTGTAAGAAAATCTACCTTTCCAAATTAATACGCTTACAGCGAATTTATCTCGCTACAAGCTTCTATGTTTTTGTGTAATGACATTTAAAAAAATTAAATGTGGCTTAGAAAATTTCAAAAACACTTCGAAAATAAAATGCTGAGATTCGAACCTAAAGCGGCTAGTGTGGCAAAGTTCAGGGCTCCAAATTAATTCACTGAATGGAAAATATTTATAAAATTATTAATTTTTCCAAAACTATAGTAATATATAAAAATGCTTTCTTTAACAGCTTTGGACCACACCAGCTATTGGGGAAGCGATCCATATGTCAGAAGGAGGTCGCGGCAGGCGGTTAGTACCGAATGGAGATGTGATCCATACTGAAGAAGGCGTGTCGATGGCAAGACGACTTCTCAAGTTCTATTCGATCGACATTATATGCTTAGCTTTGGGAATTTTCTTATTCTTCTTTGGATTGTACCACTTGGTATTGATTTTTTACCACTATTCGTACACAACAGAATTTTAAGCATGGAAAAATAAACAAATTAAGTTTTTTAAATTTGATATATTTGGTATTAAAATTGTGGTTCTCTTCATGTCTTTTATTTTAAAAAAATCACATTTGTTCACAAACGTCAATAAAAAATGAATGAATTCCAAGATACCAATGTAGATTAGATTTGGATTTTATTATTCTATCATAAATTTTTGTACATGCTTTCTGTCAAAATATATTGTTATCAATTTAGTGCGTACTATTTAATAGAGAGGTATGGATGTGCAACATAAAATGGGTCAAATCGCATTCATAAATTGTCTGCATGGTACCTATCCCGTTTGTCATGTGACAACAGACTGAAAATAATTCCCCGTCTGAAAAAATACGGGAAACCTTTTAATTAACCCCCTGGAAACAAATGGGTAAAATCAATATTCCTCGATATTGATTAATCCCGAATATATCAGGGTCGTCGGCCATTTTGGAAAGGGAGCGTCGTAGAGAATTTATTGGAAGAAGAAATATAGTTTAGCATCATCAAATTTGGATCATCCGTCTTTCTCGAATGCAATTGTCGCCGATTTCCAGCCCTCTTGGTAGTAAGATGTCTGACGGTAATTATTTGGTGAACGAGCGACGTAAGAAAGAGGGCGAAATTATTTTTTGGCGAGAAAAAAGTTGATTTTCGTTTTCTACACTACAAAAAGCCACAAAAATGTATACAAATTTTTGTGAAAATAAAAAAAATAATTTTTCTGTCTCAAATTCATCGCTTTCCAAAGCCTCAGATTGCTTCATAAATGATAACTACAATTAATTAAGGTTTTTAGTTGAGATAAAAACATGTTAATGGCACGAGCGGGATTCGAACCCACGATCTTCGGCTAGATACGCCGCTGCTCTACCACTTGAGCTATCGTGACCTCGATGAAAAATGGCAAAAAGGAGGGAAACTCATAAGGTGAGGTTGAGATAGGAAGTTGATGTCCGAGTGGATCGAGGTCACGATAGCTCAAGTGGTAGAGCAGCGGCGTATCTAGCCGAAGATCGGGGTTCGAATCCCGCTCGTGCCATTAACTTTTTTTTCATCTCAACTAAAAACCTTAATTAACTGTAATGATTTAATTGGTCAAGCGGACCACGAAATTAGTGAATTTAATGATGATAACTTTGAAAAGATTTCTCTAATCTATAGTAAATTTTATAAGATTGGGTCTGTAGAAAATACTCGTAATCGCACAATCTAGACATCTTTAATTACAATAAAACCTGAGATAAAAATGAAGATTTTTGAGGTTTTGCTGTTGATTTCATCCATATTTTTTCTCAGTTATAGTGACAAAGTTACCTGAAGTAAAAAAGGCTTTCAGTAAATTATGACAATACTTTTTTGTAGGAAAAATTCGAATTTTTTTTAATGTTTGCACACACTTTAACACTTACAATTGTGGGTTTTCATATCAATAAAAAATTTAAGATTGTTTGGAGTTAACCCGCCAGTAGTGGATTCGATGTCCGGCGTTCCACTTAAAAATTCATCAACTACAAGGTTATTACAATCATCGGAAAGCTGAATTTTACTTATTTTAACTTACAACAAACACGAATACTAAACAGACATACTCTCGCTACATGCCAAACACAGTTTTGACGCAATGATTGAGCGACCTGGCTAAGTAAATATAATTTTTAGGACAAAATTGTTATTCCTTTGTGCACACCAAAAAAAAAAACTCCCGTACTAAAATTTTTGGTTAAACAAAAAATTGTCTACATCGATGGTTCAGATTTATTTTCAAAAATCAAACAATATGTTGATAACGTTGATTGTTCGGAGATCGTGAGATGCGGTCTGGCGTGACGTAGGTTTTAGAAAAACACTTTCTTTATCGTGCCAATGTTTCGACCTTTATTGAGATCCTCTTCAGGGCTCAAAGTGTTTGTTTTGCGTGTAGTTGTGTCATTCTTGTGAGTCGTGTTGAGAGTGCCACTCGGCGATCGGACTCACGACCTCCAAATAATCATTGGCTAACAGTCACTAATCCCCCACACACACGTTGATAACTTTATACATTCTCCACCGATATTCTGAAAATTTCACGTGCTTTTAAATCCTAAATTTATAAAGTACACGTAATGGAACATTGGCTTCCAGAAATCAAATAGAAAGTGGAGATTTAATACTGTAAAACGTTTGAGGAGTTTATATTAGTTTAATTAGTATTTTTATAACTTATTGAGACAATTTAAACCTTGTTAAAACAGTCTGAAAAAAATATTCAGCTTTAGAAAGCTTGTAAAATCGTGTTCATTGGATAAAATCGAAAGGTGTTATGAATTTTTATGTGGAACACCGGACATTTGAGACAACAAACATCCAAAAACGACTAGTTTTGTTTGCTGTAAACATTGCTATAACAGTGTTTAAGGGCTTTAAAGAGTGGTTAAAACAAAAGGAATTGTTTTTCTTACAAAAAAATCGGACTTTTCAGGTGGTTTTTTTTTATGTACGCTTGTCTAATCTCATGCAATTATTAAAATTTAATTTAAATTAAATATTAAATAAAGATTGGAACATTTTTTGAAAAACATATTTTGTTGCCTACTTGCAGCTTCTTTATAAAAATTCGTTTTTAATGAAACTTTTATGAAAACGAAACTAGAGAATTTTTTTTGAATAAACAATTTTTTGGCTAATTTAATGGTAAAGTTTGTTCGTTTTTATAACTTTTTGTTTTCTAACCTCTTGGGATTAAGGCGAAAAAATTCTAATTTTTGATTTGTGTGAGAATTCGTTTTTAAGGGCTATAAAGAATCCCTAAAACGGTGCCAATTTTTTTAAAAACATTTTTTCTAAATTACCAGTACATTCTTAATTAATTAAAAATAAAATACATATTTAAAGAATGTTGAAATAAACCCAATGTTTTTTGAAAAACATTTTTTTCCCAAATTTACTGGTAGTTTCTATCCTTTTGAAAATTTTGTTTATCTAATCTCCGTAATTAGGCCCGACAAATTTTATTTTTTATTTCTAAAGAAATATTTGCGAGAAAAAAAATCTACCATGATAGCTCAGTCTAAAAATTTCTATATTTGTTTAACATTAAAATTCGCATTTAAAGGCGTTAAACGATTCCCGTTTTTTAAAATAATTTTTTTATTTACTTTGCTCAAAACGTCTTTTGGTGTTTTTATAACTTTTACCGTAACAATACTGATTTATACAAATGTACGTATTATTTTTCTATCATAGTTCGATAAAAGTCGACTGATGTAAAAAATAACATTGAAATGCATGCAAAAGAAAGGCAGCCAACCATACAAAAAATTATGTAGTTTAAAATTTCTCATCTCCTATGGCCCATTGGCAAGAACGTTCGTACAGGCGTCTAATATTTTTAGATCTATTAACATAATTTCATTGTATTTGAAACCTTAAATTTAAAAACTGTGAATAAAATATTAAAAGGTGTTGACCATTTGAATGAAAAATGGTTATATTCTAAGATAGCTCGAAGAAGGAGCTGTGTCCTTTTTATTCAACTCGCCTCATACCCGTTCGTTTTTTACTATACAAATTTGAAAGCTTATTGTTAATTGTATTGGAAATCGTCGTTGGATCATTTTTCTGTGACAGCAGGTTTTTTATAATCAGTTTGTCCCCGCCAGCGCAGTAACAGGCAAAACAAGACAAAATAATTACATTGTTAAAGTTGTAGAAGGTTGTAAAGCCCAGTGTCTTTCGCACTTCTAACACAAATAAAAAAGAATCAGGTTGCAATCTGTATATATATAAATATTAGTAAAATTTACTAGTTTTCCAGTTCTTCCAGGATCATTTTACAATTCCTCCGAAACAAAAATTATGTATATAGTATAAAATGTATATCGTATAAAATTATGATTAATTTATTAAAATTATGAATATTCATAATTTTATATTATGTACATTTTATATTATATACATATATACATAATTTTTGTTTACTTTTTTGGAGGTTTATTTCTTATATTTATTTTTTTTTTAAATTTATTTTCTTTTACGAGGCTTCACAACAGCAGAGGACATATAAACCCTCAGGGTGCCGGTGTGTTTGAAAGAAGTCCATTTGTAAGTATGTCGGGTTCGAATGCAGGGCTGCTGGATTCGAACCCAGGACCTTTACCTTACAGTGAAGAGCGCCGTGTCAACGCTTAAACCGTTGCGGCCACCGACGGTCATTATATACACTATAGTTTACAATAGAGAATCTGTGTTTGAATAAAACTTCTTTTAGTTCCACCACTGTTTATTTTTATTTCATGGAAAGCTGTTCAACTACTTTGCAGTCATCCTCAGCCTAAAAATTACATACAAAATAATTCTGAGGATCTATAGGTATAATATTAATCGTACTAATAAAATTCAAAAAAAAATTAAATTTAGTTTTTAGGTAAATGTTGAGATCATCGTACAAAACAATCAGACTTAACATATAACAGTGGAGGTTCCGGTTCTGTTGTCCTAGAGCTAGTCGTCCCTTGTCTTGTGTCAGATTTGTCACCATTTGGCGAACAGAGGTGACTCCACCAAATCTGTCTGTTCGTTGAGGATGACAACATCCAAATTGTGCTTAGAAATATTAATTTCTAAGGTTTTCAATTTGTTTAACAGGCGACCATTCTTTTCCTTGTGTAGCACTTCTACCTTTTCTTTTTGGAAAGTTTGTCCAGCCTCCTGCATATTTGTGAAACGGTTTGCCTATTTATCTTTGGTGATTTTTCTTTTTTTTTCGTTTCTTCCTCTACCAATGTTTTAAGTCTCTTCTGGTAAGCTTCAATTTTTGATTTTCTCTCTCATTTTTTCCTTCTTCTATCTTTTGTAACAACCTGTCCTCTTGTTTCTTTATTTCCGTTCGTTTTACTTCTGCCGTACAAATCATTATTGTAAATTTATAATTTAGTATTCCTTCTATTCCTTCATTTTTTACTGTTGTACGTAAAGGGCTTAACCGCTGGGCATATATTTATATAAATAGATAAGGTAAATGAGAAAATAGGCATTCGAGGTTAAAGTAAGTGCTCCCTCAAATTGCGTCAGTTTACGCCAATCCTCTAAAAGATTGTTCGTTTCATACATCTCCAACTGTTTCAAATGCCGGACGAATCTCTTCATTTTTCTTATTTTTTTCCTCCTCAGACTACGTCGAAATGTTCTTGAAACTGCGCTCGTTCATGA